ACCGAGATGCCAAAAGCCAAAGACACAGTATTATCTCAGACCTCAGTCAGTAGCGTAGGTGCGTGAAATAGTCCGAGTTCTTACTTTCTTGCAGTCTCCTCACTGATGTCTGCAGTGCGTTTCAAAACACAACTTCAAAGACTGTCTGTCGGGGATGCCAGATAATACTTTGACAATAAAAGAAGGGTATCAACCACTTGATACATGAGAGAACAGCGTTTATTTACTCAACAGACCAATCCTTTCTCGCCTCAGCAAGGTTCAACATTCACTTCCTCTAAATGATGCACCAAACATATCTTCAATTTCCTGGTTAATTAATATTTAGTAAATCAAGAGCATTCAATGCAATTGCTTATATATTTCATATATTAAGGATTTCGTTTTTCATGCGCCATAAGGGTGAATTAAGAGAAAATGGGCCATATTCAAATATGCCATTACGTTATTTCTGGATAAAACATCCTTTTTTTTTTTCTTGGTTATGTTAATGTTAAGGGGACATTCCGTTTTGCAATTTAAATGTTCTCTAAACATTCCGAAACAAGTAGTAACATTTAAAAATGTTCCGTGAACGATGTTGGGCAAACGTTTTGAGAACTTTTTTTAAAGACCAGACAACTTTGAATGAACATTTTTTTAGAGGGATAGTTCATTTTTGGTATGTTTTAGCTTCCCTCAAGGGCATCCAACATGTAGGTGTCTTTGCTTCCACAGTATTTTCAATTTTAATATTTTTAGGTCAAACCGTTCTTGTGGTCACCACCTCAAAGAGCATGCACAGAGAAGTCCAAATTAAACATTGATAGCATGGGATCTATTGGTTTACTACATTGACAAGCTATCCAACGCAAAGAAACTTGAATTGTACCTTTTTTGATGGATGAGATGGAATTCCAGCAGGTTGGTAAGCTGAGCAAGGCAGGGCAGTTTTGTAGTTTGGTAGTATTAGACAAAAGGATAGATTCCAGTAATCCAACAAACGATTGGTGGTTGATTGAAGAAAGGTGGTTAAAGGCACAACTTAAAATGTCAAAACTAATGTCCAAGTAGTGTTCAATTGTGATTCGATAGCGAAGTAAAGAACTGTATGCTTGTACGTTCCAACATGTTCTTTTTCTTGTGTTTGAAAAAGTGAGAGGCGGCCATCTTTGTATTCAAACATTCTCAACAAATGTCAAAATAAAAGTCCCTACAAAAAAAAGGATCCTAAATCTAACAAAACATTTCCAGTGCTCCAATAGCACAACAATTTAGATTAAACTAAACTCAAAATAGATAATACAAACATGATTTAATGACTCGTAAATGTAAGTAAACATTGAAGGCCTAAGACACGAAACGAGCGGTTTGTGTGAGAAAACGAGTATTTATAGTTTTTTACTTCTTAAAACCACAGATTACTTGGACGTGGCTTTGGTTCTTCTTCTTCTTTAAGCTCCTGCATTGGGTATGGGTTTACATCCCATCCCTGTGCGTTGAGCCGACCAGATGAACCAGTTCTTTCCAGTGCCGGCGATCTTGTGCCAGCTGCTCTGCATCCTCCGTGTTGTTGGAGGTCACCCGCAAGGACGTCAAGCCATCGGGTGCGGGGCTTACCTCGTGGTCGTCTCCAAAAATCACGGTTCGGTACGAACCTCGGTTTTAAAGTCACGGTTCGGTACGTTTTCGATACAGCAAAAAGAAAGAAACGCCAGAGAAATTTCCTATTTGTATAAAGAAAAAATATTTTTAAATAAGTGTGAGTTTTCCTAGATCTTGAAACTTTCAGGTTTATAAATAGGGGTCATCTTTGAAGGATGAACAAATAATGTTTTGGTCATCACATTAAAAATAACATTTAAATATATATTTATTTATATAATATTTGAATTTTGAAGTGCTGGAAAAAGATGTGTGAAGTACTTGAAAGCATTCCAGCCAAACTGGTTCCAGTTAGTGTTACTATATTAAATTCATGGTGAATGTTGCTGGTCTGTGGACGAAAGTATTACTAGTTCATTCACGGCACAATGTTTCTCCTGGTTTCCATGACAGCGCTGTTTGATCTAATAGAGATCTACGGTTAATAACGGAGAAATGTGAATGCATCTCACTAGATCTCGCAGCGATGTTATTACCTCAGTGGCGAATTCAAATGTTTTCTTTACCGGATCTCTCAGCGCGGTGTAGTAACAGTGTTGCTTGATCGAGATCGGCTCGCGCTGCACAGATGTTGTTGGTCCGAACTGATAAACGATCCGTGAAGCACATAACGAGGAGCGCAGTTTCGTTCTGCTTTCATTACGCTTGCCATTTGATGTTGTGTTGGCCGCGTCAGCACGAATTTTGCCGGCAAGAAAAATGGTCCAAGCAATCGTTCGGTTTGTATGCGTACCGAACCGGAAGCCTCGAACCGAAACGGTTCAATACGAATAAATGTACCGTTACACCCCTAATAAATACTGTTCGTTTTCTCACATAAACCGTTCGTTTTGTGTCTTAGGTCATTAAATCATGTTTAATTTGGACTTCTCTGTGCATGCTCTTTGAGGTGGTGACCATAGACCTCCATTATATGACTGACAAGAACGGTTTGACCTAAAAATATCAAAATTGAAACGTGGATGCCCTTGAGGTAAACTGAAACATACCAAAAATTAATTTCAAAGTGAACTATCCCTTTAACGTTACTGGAAGAAAGTTTGTGCATAACCTTGCCAACCTTGCCAAAACTGTGATAATGGGTTAATATTTAGCATTTCTTAAGAAGGTGCTTGTTGAGAGACATTTTTGTTACACTTTAGTTTAAGGTGTCATTATACTGTGCATTTAAGTACTATGGTAACACTTTACTTGAAGGGGTGTGCATAGACTCACATGACACCTTCATAATGACATGACATATGTCTTGAATATGAAGGAAGGTTTATGCATGTCAATGATAACTGTAATTAAGTGTCTTTCGCTCAATAATGACATTTTGAATGCAAATATGACATTGTTTGAGATGTCTTTGTCATGACACCTTGACATAAAATGAAGTTAAACTGTCATGTGGTCGGCTTTGACATCGGCTGTCATGAGGACATTATAACTGTCATGAATATTTTTCGTGACCTCGACTACAGTGGTACTAATTGAATTTGTCTTTAAAAAGTATATCAATATCAAAACCAACCACATGACAGTTTAATGTAATGTTAACCAATAAAGCTAGGTGGTTTCTTATAAGTTTGATAATTAATCATGTTTATGACAGGTTGCGTTGTCTTAGTAATGTCAAGTTGTCATGACAAAGACACTGACAGGTTATGATGTATTGGTTTATGTCAAGGTGTCATTCTCAAACAATGTCATATTTGCATTAAAAATGTCAGAACTGAGCGAATGACATGTTGTCACAAACATGCATAAAACTTCCTTCATATTTATAACATATGTCATTAATATGAAGGTGTCATGTCAGTCTTATGAACACCCCTTCAAGTAAAGTAGGGTTAGGATTTGGATTATGCTGTTATGAGTACATGTAACATACGTAACAACCAAATAGACCAAAGTATATCAGAATAAAATTTTTCCACCTGATAAAACAATAAAATTTCATGACTTAAAAGGATAGACAATGAAAGACAATAGTAAACAATGGCTATCCCTTTAACGTTCAGCACCCACAAGACAAACACAAATCACGCAAGACGAGTGGTTTTTGAAGCTCAAGTTTTATTCTAGTTAACCTCATGTCTAAGATGGGTCAGCAAGATTGTGCATTTCAGACCAGTGACCGGTTTGTGAACAATAAAAACAAAAATCAAACATTGTATTTCAGGATCGCCACATTTTTGATCCTTGGGAATGAATACCATATTGAACTAAAAAGACTAAGGTTTGAGACACAATGCCAAGCTTTTATCATGTGGGGATGGGATGATGCAGTCGATCACTTCTCAATTCCCCCTAAAAACACATTCAAGAGAAAAGCTTGGGACCTCCACGGTCTCCTTTCCTCGATTGCATGACAGTCTCTTGGTGTGTGTTTGTGAATCGCACCGATATACATGCTAGTTTTCATCATTCGGTTGAATTTCCACCTTGAGGTAAAAAAAAAGAAAAAAAGATTCCTGATACTACAGAGGATAATATATCTGTGTCCCCTGGGTCCTGGATCACCTCTCCCATCATTCCTAGCTTATCGCCACCGCATCTCTTTCAGCAAATCACTTCTAGACTCAATACAAACATATAGCAGCACCATGTCAAAGGCTGAAGGGAATGAAACTAACCAACCAACAAACAACCGAGTGAAGAATCCCATGAGTACTGAATGTGTGGCTCTTTTGACCAATTCGATGGGTTTAGGCTAAAAAAGATGAAGGGAAACATCACTGCTGATTGTAGCTGCGTCACATTTATTAAGACGTCTTGATGGGGGACACACTGTAAAAATGAATGCGCTTTAGCTAATCAAAAAAAAAAAATGTGGCAATAGATTACGAGCAATATTATTAATTCAATTGAGTAATAATTAATCAAATTAATTTCTTAAACGTTAACCATTTAAAATGAGTAAAACGTACCATGCATTTATGTCACCATTATGGTGATCAGTGTTTGTTTTAAAATGACGGTTTTCTCCTTCAGCGATTCGGCTTGTTAACATCAGGTGTCAAAGAGTTCTTAATTAATCTTTGACATCTATCTGTTATTCAGATATTTTTGTTGAATTTTTTGGTGTAAACTTTACTCCTTTTAAATGGTTAAATTTTAAGGAATAATTTGTTTACTCAATTGTAATCAGTTCAATTTAATTAATAATATTGTTGCCGCAATTTTATCGATTATTCAGTTTTTACAGTGCATACCAAGTCTCCTGAACTCAGAACAAGACAGGCAGCCACTTACACATCAACATCTGCACTGTTAAATTACTACAAGACACAACTATGGCTTTGTAAGTACACACGGCAGTCACACACGGTGTCATTTTTTCAAAATAAAAGCTTCATAAACGCATCAAGATGGGCTAGAAGAGACTCAGGTCTCCTTTAATGAAACAACTCCAAAGAGTTTATGGCACCAATTCCATTCAATGTGCTTTCTAATCGCTCGCATCAGGACCCAGTAGGATGATGATTAACATGTTCATTTACATTTTACAACAGGACTAACAGGCAAAAACAATCAAATAAAATAACAATAGCACTAAAGAACAAATCCCAGACTAAATCAATGCTAAATCACGACTGTAGTTTGAGGTATTGTGGGTATAACAGGAACGTTTGACTATCTTTTTCATCTGCTTTTTGTTGTTTTTTTGTCTTTTTTTTTGTTTGTTTCTTGGTTTTGGGAATAGCATAGCGTAGAAATCACATTAACAAAAAAATTGATCACATAAAAAAAAAAAAAAAAAACCTACCAAAATGTTGTCAATAATATAATTTTCTATGAGAAAATTAAAACCTATTACATGGCATTGTATTGACATTTTATATAAACAAAACCAAAAATAGCAGCAAAACAAGACAAGAGAAAGAAGCATGTCTTTTTCTTTTTCTTTTTTTTTTTGTTGTTTTCCATTTGAAAGTTTCATACTTGCTGGAAATCCCTCCATAGCAGCTAAATATGAGGAGTGTCTTCTCCCAGGTTCTCCTCTTCTTTTTTGTTTTATTCCTCTGCTTTTACTCTTTGATGTCCAGCCATCACCCTTTTTTGCCTCACTCTGCCATCTCTAATCTTCCTCCCCTTCCAGAGATCCACAAAACTGACATCTCTGGGTTTGTGCAAAATCTACTTGAAGCCACAATTACTAGACCAGAGTACATCAACTATGGTGTCACGAGTTAGCAACTAGCGGGTCACTATACTTCGAACTTAGGTACACTTGGGCATCCGTGCGTACTGGCCTTAAGAGGGGGGACGGAAAAGTTCGGAAAAGTTCTAATCTTTGATTTAGTGTTTCGAATGTGGGGTCGCACCTTAAACGTTCCCTCGCATTGATCTCCCCGCCCCCCTCTTCTCCTTTCTCAAACAGACCGCTAACACCTTAGATAAAGAGACCTGCTCCGCTCCATTCCATTGTTTTAACAACTGTGGATTTCTTACTTTTTTCTTTCTAAAAGTCAGCCTTAAACGACGGACTGAAAGTGCTTTTTTTTTCTTTTTTAAAATGGAATGGTTTTAGATAATACATGAATCTAAACGAAAAAGCAGACTGTGGACCACAACGCAAGCTTTAGGCACGACATCCGCTTATTGTGTCATGGCAGTGATGACGTTAATATGGCAGTGATTTGAAAGGAAATGGTTCAATCTGGCCTCAAAAGAGAGTCCACAGCCTTCTAGAACATAAACAAAAAATACATGCGTACAAAATATATACTACGGTGGTTACATAAACCATTTTGGAAGAGAAGAGAATCTTGTTAAGGGAATCTGTCTAGGAATTACAATAAAGTGACTAAACGCATAGCAAGCGGGGATATATTTACACGGCTGGACTGCAGAAAAAGCAGGGAGCGCTCAAGTGTAACAAGGTACTATCTATGAGAGAAAGAACTCAAACGTACACATAATGTCTCTTCTCTTACAAAAATAGTTTTGGACACGCTTGAAATTAAAATACCCAAGGTTGCCTTTTTAACGACACTCGACTTCCGTAGTCGTTTATGCAATTTGAAAATCCTAGATACCATCTTTTTTTAATTTTGACTTAGGACATAGAGGGGGGAGGGGGGCTGGGGGCAAAGGAGAGATTTCCCTGTCCTCCACCGGTGGTCCGGGCCAGCGATAGCCCAATCGTCAAAACCACAAGGGGGTGCCGGTCAGCGGTCAACAGTTAGGGCGCGCTGATTGGCAAGTTGTCGAGGTATTGGTCGGATATGGTGGGGTGCAGGTGGGAGCCCGTTTTCCCTCTTGTCTCATGAAGCCTTTGGCCAAAAGCCCATACCCAACAGAAGCAAAGATGAAGAGACTCATCGCAAAGACGAGATGAATAGCGATCCGTTCAGATGTTAATGTCTCTGACGTCCGTGGGGGTGCAAGAGAGGTCCACGTCCTCCTCCACTCTTTTGGTCTCTGTGGAGATGTTGTGCTGCTGAGCTTGTCTGAGACTAGATTCCAGCAGGGACTCGATCTGTTCCTGACACGATCGCAGGCAGTCCTTTGGAGGGGGAAACAGGGAAGTTAGCAACAAAGCGACACTTCAGGTCTTCTGAAATGGTCGATGCACCGGACATACACTGTACTTAAGGTACTGGGTAAGTCCCAACCCTGCTCCTGCACAGTTCATCTCCGACCCTAATCAAACACACCTGCCTTTAAATTCCAAGTGATCCTGAAGACCTTAGTTGGTTGATTAAAAAACTTTGCAGGACAGTCGATCGGCAGGAGCAGGGTTGGGCACCCCTGGGTTGAGTAGTCGACATTTGAAGTGGATCAAAACCTTTTGAACAATCCCCGTTCTTGTCTTGGGACAACTTTGATCAACTTTTCTTGATCCACTTCAAATGTTGACAATAGGTTTGGTTTACATTGCAATTATAACACTTACAGGATCGCTTCTGATGACTTGCGAGAGGAAGTTGGTGAGGTTCTGGGACGAGAGGCAACTATCGGCGCTTTTCAGGTACAAGCCCTGCACCGCTGCGGCAACGCTGCCGGCCGCGATCATGGAGGGAGGGCTCGCGATGAAGTTGACATCTGGAAACAACAAACAGATCGGGTTAACAAATAGCCACCAATAAGTAACTGGATGAGGAATACAACGAGGAATAGTGAAGCATAGCATGACTAAACTATATAGACTATTCCTCGGCAGGACTCAAAGCCTTCGGGGGGAGGCAGAGGACTTTGCTGTAGGTCCTCTCTCATTCCCAAAAGGTCCCATAAATCATGCCTCTATGTGCACGTTAATGCTAAAAGAGCATTGAAATCTTGGGACTCCTACTTTCGAAGACACACACACACCACAACTTCCTCAAAATGCCTCCTACCTTGAGCGACGCACAAGCTGAGCTTCTAAACCCAAAGCCGTATATTCGCACTTCGCGCTGCCCACACATGATGAGTAGACAATTACAGCTGACTTTCTCATAGGAAGTCGTCTAGCATTGCTAGCTCAGAGACGAGAGGGCAATTGTCAAGACAAATTGAGCATAAAGGCACGGGAGGCCATTCATTTCATTCACCAGCGCCCACCCCCTTCCCAGTCTCCGTCCAACCACACTCTCCCTGGCTGAGATCCCGGGCTACTTCCCAAAGAAATGCAGGTCATAAACATAAAAGGGGAGCGAGCTGCGGTGATACCCACCATGTATACTGGAGGGACAAAGAGTAAATCCTTCATGGCAGGTGATAAACTGACTGCTGTAGGTTGCTTCTTGAAGCAAGAAAGTGAAAGAGACCTGGACATCAAGATGTCTAGACATGGGAAAATATCAGGTTACAAAGCCCTTTTCACGAGAAAAATGTCAGAAAAGAGTTTCCTCTTTTTGGTTCACATGCACTAGCGGTGGTGTCGTGAAGCGGGCAGGGCTTCACAGGAGCTGCAGTGCAGTCACAGCAATCACCACAAAAGGAAACAGACTTCCTCTCTCTTGCAGAGGCTCACATTGGTTTACAATAACTGCGAGTGAGGAATTAGGACAAGCGAGATGGTTCTTTCCATTGCAATAAAGAAGTTCGTCTGATAGCAAAGCAACGGTGGGGGAGGTTCTTCAATGCATGTTCGCAGTCAAGAACTCGAAACATGTGCTTGGTCGGCTATTAAAAGGCAAACTCACTGTCGTGTATTCACATATAGCAAAGTGATAATGAGCACAAATGGTGAAACATACCTGTTGCACAGAGGGCCACAAATGTCTGGGCATGCTTGCGCAGAATCTGCTTGGAGTTCTGATGTATAGGCAGTTTGGCGAGGAAGTGTTCGATGAAATCGTGCGGTGTCACTGAGGCTAGATCCCACTTCAGTTTATTTAGTGCCAGCAGTTCCATTTGCTGCGAGGGAGATATAAAAAGGCCCAAGTTTACATTCAGGCTCAGACGATTTTCCATATTCTCTTTGACCACTAGATGGAGATGTCGATTAATTGCACAGTCACTTGCAGGGCCTACAATCAATTAACGCACACATACTAAACAGTTTGTAGCATGTACGCTGTTATTGATGCACATGCACTTTACAGTTGCAGTCCAACCAAATTAGCTGGTTGAGGTTTTTTTTTTTTTAATGCAAGGCTTTCACGTGCATCAAAACTGCATTACTTGCATGCTTTAAATTGACTTTAGTAGCCTACAGTGATAGCCTATGAGAAAGCAATATCACGCTGTATATAATTATGCAATGTTGAATAATTACCAATAATTCACCGGGACGGACGGAGTTGTCCGTGTATATGCACAACTTCTCCGCTGTTAGTGGCACAGTCTCTTTCATTTTAGAGGCCAAAAACATACAAGTTGCTCCTAAAAGCTGCAATCTGGTCTTTTTGGTGGGTGCCACAGATAAAAATCTGTCCAGGTAGTTCATGGCCAATGGAAAAACTTCCTCTTCGCATTTCTGCTCTTCACAAACCTTTAAAGAAAAGAAAGTACATCATGTAAAATAAAGATCGGCTAAAATCGGCTAGGTTTTTTTTTTCACTTGAAGAGAATCGAAAGAAAAAAAATATTTCGGTAAACATGAATTAAATAAACGAAGTGAAAGGATTTTCTTTTAGCTATGCTTTGATCTTTTCGAGTTATCCCACGTGTTTAGCATCTGCTCAGTCGTGCACGTGCAACGGAAAGGGTTAAATTAGAAAAGAGACACGTGCGAATGCTAAAAAAAGAGTATTTAATCGGTTAGTTAATACGAATCTTAAGTGTTGCACAAAGTATAAATATTGCAATTTGCTGCTGATGCTAGTGGTCGTTGCTTTCCGAGGCAAAAAGGTGGCGTCCAAGCTAGGCTCAGGAAACAAATTTCTAGTTCGTCATCTTTTCAAAAAATATTTAAAAATATTTAAAAATTGTTTCGCTCGAATTAAAACACATGTAAATGTTGTGCAACGCACGCTTTATTAAATAAGAGCAAAATCGTTCGAATTCAGTGGCAAAAACGATGTTAAATGAATTGAAATCTAAAGCCTCAACATACAAAGGGGAGCATGCGACATTTCAGAGAAGCGGGTGTTTCAAAAATTAATATAAATTATTCCAAAGCGATAAATCGAATGTTAAACATTTGTAAATCCAAATTAAACGATGGGTTATATAATCCGACCGTTTACAACGCGATGTTGAAGTTAGAAATGTAAAAAATATAATATTTTTAGACCGTCGTGCGGGAGCTATGGCAAACTGAAACAAAACTTTTAAGACACAAAATCTACGTTTTCTCGCAGAAATTAGGTTTAAATTATACCTGCGATGTAAAGGACAACTAGTGAGCGTTTTTACGCAAGTGATGTCAATAATATTTCCTTTTTGGAATTTAGAGATATAAAAAACTTAAGCAAACGACAACAAAGATGGCTACTGGCACGAGTGAGAATGCATACGTGTACATTGGAATTAAATTGAAATAAAAACTAAATTTATTTATATATCCTTTTAGATGATCGGAAACGAAACAGACGAATGGGGAAAATATCGGTTTAAATAAAAATGCCATATCGGAAAGCAAAGAAAACGTCGCATGTCTAAGATTAATATTAGTTTTGCGATAAACAAACGTTTTTTACATAAATGAGTAATAAAGATTAGAGCGGGGTGTGAAAGGTCTAGGATGGAAGTTACATTAAAAACATATTTACATTTATTAAACAGTTATCGGGGGTCCAAAGAGCAAGAGCAGAACCATCATGAGACAAACTTGTGCAACTAATACAAAAACACAACTATTAGCCAAAACAAACCTCGAGCATCCATGTGGCGACGATTTTCCTCATTTTAGGTACAATTTCTTTCTGAACACACTTGAAATAATTTGGCGATGGAAGATAGTTTTCCTCTGCTTTGAGCATTGTCTGTAAAACTCGGTCATTCAACAGGTTGCTATCTTGGTAAGCTCTTCTAATGGTATCCACTTCACAGCAAAACAATTGGTGTTCCATGTCTTCAGTGTTGCAGCGGTGACAAAGGGGAGTAAAACTGGATCTCGTCTCGGACACTGGTCCCGTGGATGCTTTGGTGCCTCTGCTGAACCCTCTAAAAGTCTCGCTTGACAAAACTCCCCGATGACGTGACTGTTGTTAAGGGAAGATCAAAGCAGCCGCGAGCCTGTGAGAGCGCGCGAGAGGCTTGTCTGCTCAGGCCGGAAGATCGGTCTTAAAGAACTATCTTCTCTGGAGTTTGGGCTCCTTCCTTTAGCACTATGGAAATAGGAGGTCCTATGCCGGGTGACGAGTGAGCGACCAAGGAGAATCGGCGGGGGGTGCAGGGGGCAGGCTGGGCATATCAGGGGTGGAAAGACGGGGTAAAAAGGGTCCGAGGATGTGTATTGCTTAAACATTGGTAGGGGGCGGTATAATAGCCCGAATCAAGCCCTGAAACTCAGCTGCCCTTCTCTTATAGTGTTGCGAACAGGACCCAAAGTTTCATCTCATCTTCAAAGTCTAGCTTAAGATCAATAATTTATGACAACATATGCTTTAACTCATCAAATTAAGTCAAACAATTTCAAATGTTTATGTTATACAAGATTCCATTTTTAAATTAAGTTTAATGTAGCTAATTTAAGTTGAAATAACTTAAACATCCAAGTTGATTGTACTTAAAAATTTAACGTTTTTTTCTTTATCGTATTCTGCCGTGACGGCTTTTTATATAGGCTATGGCACAACAGGCTAACTTTATGCTAGCTTTGCATTTTTTTTTTATCATTTGTTTTCCGTTCATATGAGACAAATGTGTGGTCTGTACATGGTCGAGAGAAAAAAAAGAAAAGAAAAAAAGTAAACACTTCTGGGTTCCCCTAAAAGAAGGAAGCACAAATTAGCCTAAGCCAATGGAAAGAACACCAGTTGCCAGGCAGAACGGCAGCTTCAGCTCAGATCTGAATCTCCTCTTGTAAATGGACAAAATAAAGGCTATTCTTTAAAAATCTCCCGAGAAGCCTTAACAACAACAAAAAAAACTTAATAACGAAATGCAAAATCCTAAAGTTTCAATAGAAAGTAATTTATTTCAGAAAATACAGTAAAAGAACGTCATTGTACCTTTTAGAATCCTAAAAAAAACAGTGTTGCACTTCTTTTAAAGAGTAGGCTAGGCTTGTCAGTGGAGTTTAAACACACACAAAGCGTTATAACAACACAAATTGTTTGATAGAGTTTGATCAAATAGGGGCGCTCTCACTTTAAAGAGCTCACTGCCTCACTGCTGTCGCTTCAGGATGAATTGGAGCTTTACAAATTCCACACATTCCACTTTCAGGAGGCTACCGTAAAACATGTAGTTTGGTTGCGCAAAAAAACTTGAAGAGAGAACCTAGAAATAACTTTTTTGCTTTCTTTAATTGTTGGGTTAAATACAGAGATATCAACGAATGCATACCTATTGAATTGCCCAGTAGTCCATTTTGATATCAATTGCTACTTAGAACATTATTAAGTTTTTTTGAACATGGGAATTTCTAATTTGAACCACTAAACAATCATTTTGGAAGATTGTGCTGAGAAGTAGGCTACATGAATTTAAGTAGCAGTTATATTAATTTTAATTTCATATATTCTATGCGTGTTTGCATATCGTTTTGTTTTCCTGTTTGTTTTACATGTTCACATTAAAGTATAAAAAATACTATCTTATATATTTTTTTTTAAATTACGATTATTTTAAGCGTCTATATCAGAACATTCATTCAAATCTAGATAGTCTACATACTGTATTAAAGGCCTATGTAAAATATATTTTAAATTTAGAGGTAAAAGTAATAATAATATATACTATGCTATAGGCCTAGCCTATGTAGAATTGTGAGCTTATGGTGAACATTGAATACTCTATCAAGAAAAAAACCCCGAATTTGTTAAATGTATAATACTAATAATAAAATAAACGTGTTACCTTAAAATAATGTCTTAAAATAGGCTAGTTAGGGTCTAGTTTTTTTTTTTTTCCGAAAAACAAAATGTCCGAGACCCACCTATTAATGGCAACGTTGTTTCAGGAAAGTTTTGAACACAAACTATTGTGAATAATTACTACACGACAGAAAGATTTGCTGGGCTACAGAAGTGTTGCTAACAATGAATGACCGACCATGTGATTTTTCACTTGCACCTCTATTAGCATAAGTACGGCAAAAACCAATAGGAAGTTGCAGCGCTCGCGCGTGCACAATCGGAACTCGCTCTTTTTTTAACAGCACACACACACACACTCAGTGCATGTAGCCGACGTGTGAAGTTCGGTTTCACTCTTAATAAACTAAAGACTAGAGTACAAGTTACTCTCACGTTTCTGAATGTTTATTAAGGATTACTGATGGAGTGTGCAAGCTATTGCAAGTGACTGAAACTATTACACCATAGCCCATAGGCTATTTTGTAACCTGACAGCATTAACACCTATTTTCTTCTTCCGCTTTATAGCCTAACAAATGCTAGGTTCGGAGAAAATTAATCGTATAATGCTCGAGTATACTATGAGCTTAAGAATGTTTTAGTGACCAAAACTCCCATATTGAATCCAAGCTATACTGAAATTTTACATTTTAGCAGGTTTTTATATATTTCAGGGAACATTAAATTGGTGTCTTTCAGGCCTGAAGAAAAAAAAAAACTACTGGAAAAGTAGCTTAATGAAAATGCATTTGTTTTAGTCAAGGGGAAACTACTTTTGGCCTTTTACTCATTGCACTATTAGACATGTTAAAATAGTGCAAAGTAATGTTCTCCCTGTTTATGGTATAGCATATATACACTCAGAAAAAAGGCATGTTATAAAGGATATAGGCCTATACACACACACTATATATATATATATATATATACACTCTAAAAAATGCTGGGTTGTTTTAACCCAACTTTGGGTCAAATATGGACTAACCCAGCCGTTGGGTTAAATTTTTACATTACATTTTTAACCCAGCATTTTGGGTTTGTCCATATTTGACCCAAAATTGGGTTAAAACAACCCAGCATTTTTTAGAGTGTATATATATCCTAGGATCTCCCGAACAACTGTTAAAGGGATAGTTCACTTTGAAATAATTTTTGGTATGTTTTATCTACCTCAAGGGCATCCAAGATGTAGGTGTCTTTGTTTCTGCAGTAGTTTCAATTTTGATATTTTTAGGTCAAACCGTTCTTGTCTGTCAGTCATACTGTATAATGGAGGTCTATGGTCACCACCTCAAAGAGCATGCACAGAGAAGTCCAAATTAAACATGATGTAATGACTCGTAAATGTAAGTACACATTGATGGCCTAGGACACGAAACGAGCGGTTTGTGCGAGAAAACGAACAGTATTTATATCGTATTGAGGTAAGCTAAAACATACCAAAAATTAATTTCAAAGTGAACTATCCATTTAAGGGATTTAAAAACATAACAAAAGAGGTAATGTTCAGGTGGAGTCTTAAGTGCATCACCATCAGGGAGGTTTAAGGTGAATGTGGATGCCTGCGTATCAATAGGGATGAGGGCACAATAAATAACTATCTCTGGCTACCTAGAGGCAAACGACTCCTGTTGAGCATGAGATTAAGAAACAAAAGTAGTCCGACAAAGGACTACCTTTTTTCAAGGATTCAGGAACAGGGTGTCGGTCTATTGCCAATAACCGTCCATCTCCTCCCCCAACTTTACATTATTCATATCTTTATATCTGTGAATTTATACCTTCAGTTTGTCATCCACCATCTCAATGACACACAAAAGACTCTACAATGCACATACATGCAATCTGAAACAATATAGCCCTTGGATACATTATTAAATCATAAATAAATAAACCATGTCAAATTCAAAACAAGAATACAATCTCATTCCCGAATTGAGGGAGTTAAACATCTGTCCATTGCAACAAAAGATTATGTAGATCTGAGAGGTAGTTTGTCCATCTGTAACAACAGTGACAGTTGTTAAAGATTTTCAATTAGTAAAATTAGTTTCAGTTATATTAAATAAGCTTTTTTGACTCGAACAATACCAGGTAGAAAGCACATGTTTTAAATTACAATTAACCTATTGTAGTTAGGCTGTTTCAGTTATATTAAATAAACCTTTTGATTTGAATACTACCATAGAAAGCACATGTTTTAAATTACCATATAAATAAACGGTTACTATTTAGTAACCGTTCATTTTAGTAGTCAGTAAATGTCAATGGTAATCATCCATGGTGGTATAGATGTAACATCACGCCCTAAAAGGTAAGAAATTACTTAAAGATCTGTCCAAGGGATGGCTTTGTATATATGCATCTTTCAGAAAGTACGACATTTGTCGTGTTACTACTACAGCTGTTACTAGCATCTTGTGATGCTCAGATGCTAGTGCACAGCTAATGGCTACCTAATGTCGTCAATCACTTGAGCTAATCCTTCCACCTCTTTTTTTCGTCTTTCTTAGCACGTTACATCTCAAAAAGCCCTGGCCATTCGTCCTATGCCCTCAGGTGTACAAGTACTGATCTTGTCCATTCTGTAGCAAACAACCAGTAATCTCGAGCTCTTGGGATGGGATGCTTTGGCAATACTTTACAATACGGGTACACTAATATGCATTAATTCATGCTTAACTAATGCACATGTATAACTAATGAAGATAAACCAATAATTAAGGATTAATGCATCAACAACTAATATGATTAATAGATTAAGTAATACATGAATTGCTATTAATTCAATGTGTCATTGTGTATTAATTTCTTAATAACATATTTTAGTGTAAATTAATGTGTTAATTACCACAATTAGTCAAAGCTATGCACTTCAAACTTCCAGTTGTCTGCTTTAATTAATCATTAGCTAATGATTTGCAAAGGTATCATTATGTAATGACTTTACTTGGTGGGGCACATCATTATTAACTAGTCATTTGCACATGAATTTGCACTAACAATGAAGTAATTAATCATGTATTAATGCATATTAGTGTACCTGTCATATTATATAGAAGTTGAAATACAAGGCTTTGGCTCATTCTGGTAATTAACCTATTAATTAACTCTATTAGTTTAAAAAAATAGATATTATGGAATTAATCCACTATTACATATTTACTTAAAAACAATTAATGTATGAACTAATACATTAAACTTACAGACTCTTAAATTAGTTCCTAATGTGGTAATCATCAATGAATAGCTTAGATAATCATTAGTTACACATTAATTCAGTATTATCTGTGCATC